TGTAAGCGATAATGGCTATCCACAATTTCCAGTCTTTTGTAGCTCTTAATAATTTTTTTTTTTTTTTTTTTATTTCTCCTAAAGCCTGTTCCGCCATCCATTTGCTGAAGTTCACTAAATAGGTTATGGGTTCTTTAAATCAAGTAAAATTCAAATGTTACCTTTCTGTATATGAAACGCGGTAAGTAGTTTTTCATTAGTTAGAACCATAAATACAGATTACACAAAAATAAATAATAAAGTTGATCATTAGTGGATTTGCTTTCATGAATCAAAATTAAATAATTTCTTAATTTGGTTACATCATTGAACTACGGTTAACCGAAATCGAAATTAACAATAGTCGCTCTGAGTGGAACGACGTTATTTGAAATCGGCCTGTGGAGCTCAGTTTGCCCATGAGTTGGCTTGAGTAAAGAACGCCATAAATTCACTCTAAATGCATCGAAAACAAGCAAAAAAGGGATTTTGTTAGATGTCAGTAATAAGACGTACAACTAAAATTACAGATTTATAAAGTTGTTTATAATACATATCATATATTCAGTTTGCGCATTTTGCGCCGCCGCTGTGGTCACCACTCCCCTCTATCTTATGATGACATTCAAGGGAAAATAATGCAATGGCTCGCCGTTTCCTTTTGCACCAGGTATGTTGTGGTTGCCCCGTCTCTTCTCTCAGAAGTTAAAGCGGCAAGACCTAAAAGTTGATCAGAGTTTTCCTTCTCTTAGACTGGTTGCCAACCAAGGCTATAGAGCCCAGTCTGTCCTGCTGGGAGTAAGAGATGGATTCATTCCTGCGGAAGGTGAAAGAGTTGGATTCAAACCTTTCCCAAAGGTCTTAGCACGTAAATGAATGCAATGAACTCGACTGGAAATCGAACTCGGCTCTCCGATTCCTCACTCTGATCTGCTATCCATTATACAACAGTGACCATAAAAAGTCCCCACCCACAATAACCACCCACCATCAGATAAGTCAAATTCAAAGAAACCGTTGGCAAATATCAACAAGACAAAAATAATGGCGTTTAGATGGGCCCACTGACGTCCAGCAAACGAGTCGCCGCCCGTGAAATTCTGTAACTATTTATGGTTGGATATCAGTAATGAAAGAGACGCGTTTGTTTGCTTGTTTTGAAAATTAAATACCAGTGCGTCAATTATTTATTTATTTCCTCAATTAAACAAGAAGCTGTGTATTTAGAGGTCTAGCAATTAAAGCTCTCTCTTCCATGGAATAGTCGATGTTACTCCTGATAGCGCCATGTTTCTTTCTTCAACATCTCTTTCTCATACACACACAGAGATACTCACTCAATAGAGTGAAAAAAAAAAATAAATAAATCTGACCCATCCCCCCCTCTCTCCTCCCTCTCTCTCTCTCTCTCTCTCTCTCTCTCTCTCTCTCTCTCTCTCATACTCTGTTGCTTTCTTCATTCGTCATTTTGTATGGCTGTTTCTTTTCTCCACTTTCAGCTTTCAGAACGTCTGAGATTTATTCTCTCGAAAACCCAGGCCGGTAGTATGTATATTCACTAAATATAACGTTTATAGTTATGAGAAATAAATAAATAAACATATATATATATATATATATATATATATATATATATATATATATATATATATATATATATATATAATAATATTCTCGGACCTGATTTTTCATGAAGAGAAGATAATGTTTTATTTACAAAAATTACTAAGAAATATGCCATTGAAAGTATTGTCCATCGCTAGCCACTACTTTTTCCCATCCTTCTGGCAGCATTTGAATTCTAAGTCGGGAAAAAATATGTATTAGGCAGCATATCTTCATTCAAGTAGAGAACTAAAAAGAATTATCATAAAAAATAAATAGACATAAGCCTATATTAATTAAACATATATATATATATATATATATATTGTCGCCAATTTATATTTTTAATTTCGCGATTGTCCGTTCTTTCTTTTTGATTTTGTTGACTGCACATTATAGCAGGGGTCAGTTGGGCACCATCTGTGAGAAAAAGAGCACCATGACACAATCCACTCTGCCAGAAATTTGGAAGTGGTATGCTGTACTCCTTGGCATTCGCGCCACAAGATGCAATACAAACATTTCAGAGTGTTAGGTGTCAATCTGAAGACAGTGCAGAGGATTCGGAAAGAGTAGGATGAGTCTAATGGTGATTACGAAGGTACGGCAACTCGGAAAACTCACTCTGATTGTTCTGAAAAGAGCCAAGGGGATGGCTGCTGAAAGACCCTATGTCTGGCAATTGGACTGCACCATGACACACAAGCAAGAGAACCCAGTTATGGCTGTCAGACAATTTCTGTGACCACATCACCCTTACATCTGGCCACCTAACGCCCCAGACTGCAACCCCCGCTTGATTATTATGTGTGGGGCAAAGTTGAGTGAGAAACCAATAAAACACCAAAGATGAACTGAAGGCATGGATTATGGCAGCATTCACCAACTTAAATAAGGAGACTGCCCAGAAGAAATGCAGGAGATTTGAAATCATTATGTTGATCGTGGTTGAAGCCAATGTCAATTTTATTGAATAAATTTATTCTTTAGTATTTCAAGATATTTTTTCAATGTTATTTTCATTTTTGTGTAATTTAGACGAAAATTTATCCATCGCACCCAGAAAATAAAGAAAAAACTGCACATGATCAAAAAAAAAAATATCCAAATGTTGAACAGATTTTGTCTTTATTTTCTCCCGAAACTAAAGCAACTATACGAAGCTTAGAACGACAGTGAACGGAGAGACCCGCCTAGGAAACTCCGGAGTCGTGTTGCTGAAGGCAACATCAATCAAACTTTTACTCACATTAATCATATATATATATATATATATATATATATATATATATATATATATATATATATATATATATAATGCAGACGATCCTTAAAAATCCGTTCGATAAAAATATGGAATGCTTCACGAATATGCGTCTCATGCGTATAAGGATGACACGCAAATTCGTGATGCGGTTCCGTCATGGATTTTTAAGGATCATCTGTACTTATTATTATTATTGCTCTGTTTCTTACGTTGAGCTCTCTTTGGATTAATATTGAAAATATAAATATTTTCAATTGATATATATATATATATATATATATATATATGTGTGTGTGTGTGTGTGTGTGTGTGTGTGTGTGTGTGTGTGTGTGTGTGTGTGTGTTAAGAAATATAGTCTTAAGGTGTGCTATATTTATGGGATAAAGTCCTCAATATCAGAGATAGAGCGTGTGTAAATATAAAAGTGAACATAGAAGTCAACACTTAGAGGCGACAATCTGTTTCATGTTACACGTAATCGTCAGGCCACGAGTGCTGTTTTTTTTTGTTTTTTTTTCGGCTATTTATATAAACGGATCAGTGGTGCATTGTGGGTATTTTTTATTTTTATTTCTTATCTTATATATTTATTTTTATTTTAATCGGTTTTTTTGGGTTTTTTTTTTTGTTAACATAGTAAAAATTTGTTTATATCGCTGATTTAATAGTTTTGGTTTGGTTTGGGGAGATAATTAAAGCTATTTATTCAAACTATTATTCTGGCGGGAGCAGTTTTTATTTTATTACTTCATGTATTTCATTATTACTTCATGTATTTATTTGGATTGATTATCTTTATTTGTTTTTTCTAACGGTTAACTTATCGGGATCGGTTTGTTAGTTTATTTATTTATTTGTTTGGATGAATTTAGATTAATTTATTTTACTTGTTTTTTTTATTTTTTATTTATACTGTATATTATTATTTACTCTTTTCGGTTTTTGATTTTTAAGTTACGTGGTATTTTTTATCGTTATATAACAGTTATAGCTATGTCTTTCGTCCCATTTTTGGTTTGATTTTTATAGTCTAACTAATATTTTGGTCATAATGGTTTGTTAATTTGTTTATTATTTACTTTATTTATTTGGGTTCATTGATTTTGTTTTTTATTTATTATTTATTTATTCTATTTCGTCTATTCTAACGGATGTGATTTGGTAATTTGTTTGGGTTAATTTATTTAATTATTTTATTGTCATTTTGTTTAATTATTTATTTTATTTTATTTTTGAAAGTGTTTTCTATGCATGTTTCTTCTTTAGAATAACAAAAAAAAAAAAACAGACAAATAATCCTAGCTTCTAACTCCGTAACATCCACTATCCAAAACAATTTACCCAATCTTAACAATATCAAAATGATTACAACCACATCAAAAACTATTATGGATATGGTCAGAACCAAAAGTAACAAAAACAATAACAATTATAAAGCAGGTATATATAATATAAACTGCTATAACTGCTCCTCACAATACATTGGAGAAACTTGCAGAGAAAAAAACACATATCTATGAACACAAAAAGAATCTTATTCACAAACATTTATTAAATGCATTAGTTATACATAGAAATAAATTCACCCACAACTTTGGTGTAAAAAATGTCACGTTGATTAAAAGAGAAAGTAACTTAGACGGAAAAATCTGGAAAGTGGCGCAATCGAAACTTATCAAAATCTAAAAATTTATTTCAAATTCTTGAAACAATTATTAGTTTCCCAAACCAACATACGTGGATATAAAAAGGATTATAAAAAATTAAAAGAAAATAATTAAATTCATAATCTTATGGTATCAAAATTATATAACACATAAATTAATCGCATACTGAAATAATTTGAACAATAATTTGCATAAAAAAAATTATTAGCCATTGAATTATGCCACTTAGCGTCCTCCATAACTTACCTAGAAGTTTTGTTAACCTGATGAATATTTATAAACGGTTCTAGATTTTAAAATTTGGAAAAAAAAACAGCATTTATGCTCTTGTCTATAAACGCTTGTTACAAAATGAATTTTTTGCATCTGCCTTAATAAAGTCCCACAGAGGATCAAATGTGTCAGCTAAGATAAGTTTTTCTTTTTGTCTTTATTTATATTGTCCTTTTAGAAATATATTCTATCTACAATTTTACACACACGCGCATATATATATATATATAGATAGATAGATAGATAGATAGATAGATAGATAGATAGATAGATAGATAGATAGATGATTGCATTTAACCATGAAACAGACTTTAGCCGCTGGATGCTAACTTCAATGTCCACTTTTATATTTACTTATATATGCTCCATTCCACTGCGCACTCTAACCCATAAATATAGCATACCATAAAACTATATTTTCATCATATATATATATATATATTATGTGCACGTGCGTGTATGTGAATAAGTGCGAGAGAAAATGACAGAGAGAGTGAGAAAAAGAGTGAGAGAGAGTGAGGAGAAAGAGAGAGTGAAAAAGAGTGAGAGAATAACAGAGAGAGTGAGAAAGAGAGTGAGAGAGAGTGAGGAGGAGAAAGAGAGAGAATGAGAAAGAATGAGAGAGTTACAGAGAGAGAGAGAGAGAAAGGTAGAGAGCAAGAGAGAGAACGTGAAAGAGAATCTCCTTCTCCCTAATTTTTTCTTTAGCAAACTTTGATTTCAGTTTCTTGATATCTAAGTAATTAAAATGGCCTTGACTCTTGAGTGTTTGCTCAGTTTAGCTAGCTTCCCTCGAGTTTGGAAGATTTTATTGCGTCAGTCTTTAAGAGTCAAGTTTGATGAATCGGCCTATTATGAAATAAAATAGTAAGCTATTTTAAATAGATAATTCTCTCAGCTACAAAGAGGAGAACCTAACCCCACGCCACCACCATCGCCAAAGTAACCCGCCCCCACCAGCGCCCCCACTCATTAACTACCGAACAGGAATTCCTTATTTTTCTCTTTTATCGAAGATTCCGTCCTCAGAATTTCCCTTGCTTCTTTACCGGTTTACTCATCCAGAACAAAAAATCACATAAAGAAAATTTGTTTTTATGGCCAGATAAATTTGTTTCAAAAGTATTTTCACATATATAAATATCCCGACCAAATACTCTCTCTCTCTCTTTCTCTCTCTCTCTCTCTCTCTCTCTCTCTCTCTCTCTCTCTTCCTTCTTCTAAAGCTGCTTTCTTCTTTCCCGCTCTCTCTCTCTCTCTCGGTTATCTCTCTTTTTCTCTCTCTTTGTTTTTATTCTCTTTCTCTCTCTTCTTACAAAACCTACTTCACTCTCTAAAGCAACATCTTTCTTCCGCTCCTTTTTCTTTCATTATTTTTATTCTCTCTCTTTCCCACTCTCTCTTCTCCAGTGACTATCTTTTTCTCTCCCCCCCCTCTCCCTCTCTCGCTCTTTCACTCTCTTTGTCTATCCTTTTTCTCTCTCATTATTTTTATTCTCTAATCCTTTAACTTCCTCTTCTCTCTCTCCCTCCCTTTCTCTTTCTCTCGCAGCCATTCTATGTTATCCTCCCCTCTTATTCTCCCATTCTTTTTTATTTCTCTCTCTCTCTCTCTCTCTCTCTCTCTCTCTCTCTCTCTCTCTCTCTCTCTCTCTCTCCTCGTAACTTCCTTTTTTGGCTTAGCTAATCTGGTTCCTCTTTTATCTTATTATTTTCTATTCTCTCTCTCTTCTCTTGCAAATTCCTTCACCCGCTCCAACATCTTTTCCACATCCCTTTTCTTTCATTCTCTTTATTCTCTCTTTCTATTTCTCTTTCTCTCTCTCTCTCTCTCTCTCTCTGTATATATATATATATATATATATATATATATATATATCATTCTCTTCACTTGCAACGTTCTTCTCTATCTTTTGGCCTATCTCTCTCTTTCTCATTCATTATTTTTATTTTCTCTCTATTCCCTCAATATCCTCCTCTCTCTCTCTCTCTCTCTCTCTCTCTCTCTCAATTTCAATTTCTTTTCCTATTTAATTCTCTTGCTTTTGAAGATCTCTCTGTCTCTATTCTCTTCTCTCTCTCTCTCTCTTCCTGTCTCTCTCTTAGCTAATTTCTATTTTTCTCTCCCCTCTTCTATCATTCTTTTTATTCTCTCTCGTTCACTCTCTTTTTCCCTCTCTCGCTTTCTCTCTCACTGTCTCCATTCCAGGTAGGAGGGACATTTTTAATCAAATAACCTTGGTGAAACATTTCTAAACAAACCCCAATCTTAATTCATTTCCGCTGTTTTATTCGTACTTATTGTTAAACATAACAGATTTTACAAGATATGAAATGTAGCTTTAAAAGTCGAGAAATAATTTAGGCAGTATTTAAAATACATGCCCCAAATTCTAGTGCTTTTCCATTTTGATTATCGGAGATTGACCAACACACTGTCAATATGAGTTCTGGCAGAAAAAGAAACCTTTGATAACAAAACTCATCTGTAGGAATTGAACCAAACACCTTGCAGCCTCGTTTCCAACGGTCACCCACTGAGCTATATCCTCGTGTCGCCCTAGAAACACATTATTGTTGCAACTGAGAACGGGTAGATAAACAAGTGATGATGTAAAATCAAAAACGGCGACTTGTTTGTGAAGAAGACGGACATTCGTCCGCTCCGGTTGTCGAACAGGTCTTCATTTCTCAAGTCCTTGACCTTGTATAAAAAAGGCTTTCTTTGATAAAAATGTTTACGATGAAAAAGAATTCAAACCAGAAACTACGTCACTCACCAACGAGTAACAAGAAAAGCAAGTATTCAATCTTAGCAGAGAACTGTAAAAGATAAATAAACAACTTTTGCATCGTTGCTACATACATTATCGAACAAATGTTTTAGGCATATAATAACAAGTACATCAAAATTGATATAACTAAAAATTGTGATTCTAAAGTTAATCCATAATCTGAATACACCATGGGTAAACTGCAGCCCACCAGCCATATGCGACCCGTTTGCCTTTCTGAACTGCACGCTTAATTTTATGGGTAAAATAACATTTCTTAAAATTTCGTTTCTTTCCTTTCGTACTCACTTGTTCACTCACACATTCTCTCTCATACTTAAATACAAACAGAAACAATGATTAAATGCAATGTTTATTGAGTTTTTAAACTTTCTTTTTCGTCATTTTAAACCATTGGCGATTTTCTCTAAGAAAAATCAGACGTAAATACCTTTTGCTTTAGAAACCGGAAACGTTTATATTTGTTCACTGGAGAAAAAATATAAATTTTTTATAAACTTTTCTTTCTGTATTCTTTTCTTTTTTTTTTTTTTTTTTTTTTTTTTTTTCAAGTGAATAAATTAGAAATTAATCACATAAAGCGGTGGGTACTAAACAAAATTATTTAAATGTATTGTTGGTCATTTTGCTTTCAAATTGTATTTTTGGTCATTTGTAATGTACTCCTGGTAATTTTACTATAAAATGTAGATTTTATTCTTTCATGGTGTTTTGTTTTTGTTTCGGGTTTCTCTATTTACCGATAGTTGGGTTCCTAACAGGATCTCGGAACAACAGTAATTAAGAATTGGTTTCATACTCCTCAAAAGATCCAATCTCCCGATCAGAGACCTTGCTGCCGGATGTAATTTATCGTCACACTCAGAACTGACTAAAAGTTAAGTCAGAATTTACCAAACTTCTAGTATCATAACTTGGTGATTGTTTTTTATACAAACCTGCAGCGGTTTTGTTTTCTTTCGTTTAGCTCGCAGTATTTCAGCCGATCGATTCTCTAGCTTTCAGCAGGTGAAATCAGTAACTTTTATAGAAACTTCGAATAAAACAGTAGCCTAGCTAATAAAAATGTTTGTTCGACATTTTAATTCCATGAGAAATCAACTTTGACAACGTTTTTCGGGAAAATTAATATCAAGATTCTCGAGTAATTATTGCCATTTGTCATTTGTTCTGTAAGTTTTCGTAAATCTTCCTCGAGACTCAAAAGAAATCAATCAATATCTGTGCATGAATATTTTTCAGAAATGTAAGGCTTATATACATATATATACAAGATGCGGCAGAAATATCTCCCACATGTTAAAGTGTAACGTGTGTGGAGCTAGTGGACTTAGGCAAGTGTCAATAGTATCTTCATCTAGCGAATGCCCAACCATTTTTTCAGATACCATCAATTACCACAGTGCTTCCCAAACGGTGCGGCCCGCCTCATAATTGCGGTCAGCGTCGTAGGTGCGGCGGAAGAAGTTAGCAGGTGAGGCGGAAGAAGATAGCAGCTGAGGCGGAAGAAGATAGCAGCTGAGGCGGAATGATTGAAAGAAAATCAAATATTTTGAAACAATTTCAAAAAATAAATATTATTTCAAAATTTAAAATATATTATGATGGATTACTTGTAATTACATGCATGAATCCCAGTATATATAGTTATAATTAAATATTGACCGATTTTATCATTGTGATATTTTTGCATTATATCAATTATTAAGAATATAGTAATGAGAGTCTGCAAATTGGAGGATAGAGTTATCAATGATAATGTTCTGACTTCGAATCTGCGGTTATCTCCCTTAAAACCTACTCTCTTTCTATTTTTAAATGTACTTAAAAAGTTTGGCAAGCACTTAGTTACGACCATGATTTGGATCGATGCACACCGTGTGTTTGCCGGTGAAAGGTTTTGTAAGATTAGTGAATCTGTAATTACAACGCAAGAGATCATTTCGTGCTCATTTCATGTTACGTCGGAATGTTATTATCCGGATAGAAAATCGATACTTCTATGGGTTGAAGATTTTCAGGATTACAGATTAAGCGCTTAAAAGAAATCCTCCTGGAAGACCTCGAAGCCCTCGAACTTCAGAGTGACGGAAAATATTAAAAACCGTGTACAATAATGTATAGCGAACAGGGGCCACAATTTGGAGGATGTGATTTTAAAAATCTAAATGGATAAAAATTGTAGCCCTTTTTTAAACAACAGTGAAACCTTTTTGTTAATAGCAGTTAACTTGATCTTTTTAACCTTTAAAATGATGCAGGTATTTCTACCGAACCGTGTATATATATATATATATATATATATATATATATATATATATATATATATATATATGATTTAAACCAGTTTTAAACCATATATATATATATATATATATATATATATATATATATATATATATTGTATATTTTAGGCAGCAATTTTTCATTGATGCATGATTCATTAAATAATATAGACAAGTTTTGTCTATTTATTTTAAGTGAGTTCCTTTCATATT